AAATGTAAAATATATTAGCATAAGGATTATCTAGAAAATGATTGAATGCCTGTGTATGTATATAGATATATACACTTAATGTACAATGAAGATTAACTGATTCTTCAAAGATCTTGGATACAGAAATGTCGGATGTGCAGACAGAAGAAAACACACTTTTCCACTACTGTGTTAGCATACAAGTATATACGCTGTTCACAATATGCATGGCCTTAAACTTTGCAAAAGATCATGTCACACTGCAATCAAACTATTCATGTCAATCCATGTAAACAACCATCAACAATTCTGGAAGCAAGAATCTGACAACTTTGATCCTCTTACTGGAAAGAAAGTGGTCATATTGCTGGTTCAGAGCCAAAAATGAAGCATTGCCTGCTCACAATATCAAGACATCAGAAAATTGTTTGTCTGTTGTTTGACTAAAAGAAGGTCATAGATGAAATCTAGGAAAAATTTGCACTAAATTTTAATGTCCAAGTCAGATCCTGTTGTCTTGTGTTTGCCAGGACACAAAGGTACATGGAGAAGTTAAAGTTACTGCAACTTTTAGCTACAGTAATGAAGGCAAAGACTAAACAAGTTGAAGAAGATTACCTCTGCAAGGGTGGCAATCGGTACCTCATCTCTATGTGAAGACTCCTTAACTTTCCAACTTCTGATCTCACACTCTATTGAATTCAGCTTCTCTCTTATCTCTTTCAATAGTTTCCGTTCTTCCTCTCTGTCTGCAGATACTAGTCTACCAGCCTGTCTATCAATCTCAACTATTTCTGAAGTCTGATTGAACTGTTGCAGCAACGGTTGAGATATAGAAACTTTTCCAATAGGATGAACCGTTGCAAAGTTGCAATCAACTTCAATGGCACTACTTGGTTTACAAAATGTTTTCTGTTGCTGGGAAGATTTTAGCACTTTCTGTAGCCAGTCACTTTCTTGTTCTTGAATGTATGGCTTAACAATCTCCTCAGAAATGGCATCTGGTTTTTCAACCTTGTTCTCATCTTGCAAAACCATCTTCTTCTGATTTTTTCTCTTCAATCGGCAATCATCATAACTCTCTTCCACCTGGGGGACTTCAAAGACATCAAGGACACCTGGGGAACAAGGACATTCAGTTGTTATTTCACTTTCCTTCACATTTCCTGGATGTTTGACCTTATCCATGTCATATGCTGTTGGTTCTCTTGTCAGATCATAGGGGTTTCCAGAGCTTTGTGAAAGCGGTGAAGGAGACCTCGTTGAACTTTGTAAGTTTGCATAGCTTACTCCTGCTATCTCTTTAACACGACCATCTAACTTTCTGATCTGCTCCAGATATGAGTTGATGTCACCCATATTAGAATTATCTGTCTTTTTCTCCCAATCAGAACTCGATTCATTCATGTCGTGTGCTGTGCAATCTTCGACTGTCTTATGAACCAGATCTGTTTTGGGGCTTAAACAACTCTCTCTCTCAGTCACACCTTTCCTCATGCATGATATCAAAGTTAGGAGGGGTGCAGAATTTCTCCTTCCGATCCTTTTAAAATTCGTTTCCCCTACAAAAGATTCATTTCTTTGTAAGAGGTCTTCTGGAGACGTTGTTTCACCAATTCCTGGATCTTCACAACCCATGCTTAATAGCTTATACCTGTAAGCCTGCACTTGAGAATCCAAAGCTGCCATCTCCATATCTTTCTGATACATAATATCTTCAAAAATTGCTAATGATTCCTCTGCATATCCCATTTTTTCCTCTGCCAATCTTTTGTATTGCTCTGCTTCCATTTGCACAGCAGCTTTTTCTCCTTGTAGGCGCAATATCATAGACAAAGCTTCACTGGCAGCAGAAGAAGAGGCCTCTCTCTCTGCTTCCAACTCATTGTAAAGCTTCTGCAGCAACTGTTGCTGAGCGCAGAGGGTTTCTTTGAGGATATCTATATCAAAATTGTGTCTCCCCATGCCACTTTCGGCCATGGATTTTTCGACTAACCTGATTTGTTAGTAAGGGTGAAATTTAGAAAAACAAGAAGTTTAATACAGGAATGTAGTTAAAGTATGCATGTCTAAGTAAAATAACTAAAACAGCAAATTAAATCATCTTTATCTTCTTTGACAACAGATTTTTGCGACAATGACAACGACGAGTCTTTAAATGAAATTGTTAGGCTTTTCCTTAGCCCAGAGAATTGAGAAATTGGATAGACTAGCATGTAATATACATGGACTCAAAGACTTACCTCTCCTATCCCCAACCTAAACTTAATGATAACCAGCAACTTCAAATTCAAGAAATGCAGGATACTGATCATAATAACATGCGATGCTGCAGAAGGTAAATTGGCAAGACTTGTGAACTATAATAGTTCCCAACTCATACTGAAAATATAAGGGGCAAAGATTGAATAGCAATTGCTGAGCAACCATATGAAACATGGCAGACGGAACAACAAAATCAAGAACAGCAGAGGAACAGCGTGGTTTTCACCTGGTTGAGGCTGAGGAGACTGATATCAAAGCTCAAAGGAAGACCACACCGAGGCAGAGAAACGACCACGATGATGACAATCAATCAAACTCCAGTAAAAATATCCCTTAGGAAACAAGAAAATCCCCGTAACTAACTCCAAAATACCAAGAAAAAGATGATCAATAAATGCTCATCTTTTGAATCCCAAATAAGATTCCAATCGCAGAATTTCAAATTTGAAACAAAAAGCGAGGAAAGGGGAAGAGAAAGATGTTGGCCGTCTAAAATACTGGCGAAAAAGAAAAAAGAAAGAAGATGCAAAAAGAAGACCCCACCAAAACAAAATCAAATGAAATGTATATTCTTTTGCATGACAAAAAGAAAGAGCGCCAGATCATGTCAGCGTGATGTTCTGGGAAGGTTTTGACAGTTTAAGAAGCTTGCAAAGAGATGGGATCATTTTGTCTTTGTAACGGTTTCTTGATTTGTCTTTTACACGAAGGAGTTGGCTTTGGCTTGGCTTCTCGAACCAGGTTTCCAACCTCCAACTCCAAGCTTTCTTAATCTAAACGTTCCCACGCACCAGTGAATTTGATTATTAACAGGATTTCATGTACCTGTAGGCAAAAATTTAACTTACAAGCTACACATACGAGGTAACAGGTCCAAATCCTCCATGATGTGGAGTATTTGACTCATATTAACGTTCAAGCGGCTATTGACCTTTTTGTACTGTATAAGGTGTAAGGTCGTAGACAGCCTGATCTAAGCAGTGATTTTAAAATGTGATTTGGTTGAGGATATGAATATGAGGACAGGCAAACTTGGACCAGAAATGTCTTATATATGCTTACAAAATGAAACGACAAGCAAAAAATAACTTATTTGGGAATTGGTGGTGATGCTTACAGTGTTTGATTTAGTCAAATATGAGGCTTGTTTTGGCATTCATTTCCTGGTCCCTCACTTGTTCTCCGAGTTATCTAGTTTGATTGTCGGGATAACTTTAAAATTTTCAGTTATTAGACAATATCAGGATGAATAAAAAAAAACATTATAGTTCGAAAGATTACGTGAAAAAATAAAGTGAGATAGGGTAAATTGGATTTCTCTAACCCTGCTTAATTAAAACTCGTTAAGATAGGGTATGGGCATTAAGATTTTAGAAAAAGTGAAGTTAATTACTTTTAAAAAAACATAAATGTAACTGCATGCATTGGAATTATATAGTTAGGTGTATAATCACTTTTTTTTTTTTCTTATATTCACTTTTTCTAAAATCTTAACGCCTATACCCTATCTTAAGGAGTTATAATTAAGAGGCAAATCCAAATTAGATAACTATTAGATAACAGACAGACACCTCATGCGCCATCTTTTTTTTTTGGATGGGAGTGTTTTTCAAAAACTAGTTTTTCAAATATAATAAAAGTTGTTAAAAAGTACTCTAAAAGGTTATCTAAAAATTAATTTAATTTATTTAAAATTTTAAAAAATATCTCAAAATATATTCTAAAAACTCTTCTACTCTTAAATAACCCAAAATATGATCTAAAAACTCTGCTACAGTAAAATTTTTCAAAAACACCCCCAAAAACAGTCAATCCAAATGGAGGATCGCGAAATAAAAACATTTATTATCTATAATTAGACTAATAAATAAATCTTGAACGATAAATTGTATTCTCACTGTGAAAGGTACCATTTTGATTAGGGTATTATGCACTTACCATTTTACCTATTATTTGTCATCATGATGGTTTTGCCCTTTGAAGATATGCCGTTCTTCTTTCTATTCTTGTAACAGATGTATGCCTTCTTTTTGTTTTCTTTGCAAGTAAAAGTTAAAGTAATTATTGGTTGGATTTAAGGCGGTTCAATTTGATTAATCATCATTCCGCGTGGGGCCTAATCTAATCTAATGGGTAAAAAAGTCATGAGAAGAAAGTTAAAAGGATTAACCTTGATGATTACTTTGGAATCTTTTAAAGGAGTTGTCATGGCAGCTTCAACGGCTTTGCTGAGGCAGGGTCCAGTCTTTGCCGCCCATTACTGCTTAAATACGCACACGTTTTACTACGTTTCCGGGTTTGATTGATTGAAGGACCAAATATTTGACTTTAACGAGTTCCAGAAGTTTGTAATCACTGATGTGACCAAATTGTCTTTTTTTGTCATTATTTTTTGTCTTTTTTGTCATTATTGAAAATGAAGAAATTGAACTGAAATCACCAGAAAAGGGACTAATGCACCCTTAAGAACTGTTTAGAAGTGCAAGCAGTAACTGCATCTGCCATGCAGTGTGGTATTTAAGCATAATTTTACTGAAAGAAGAAATCAATTGTCATGAAGATGAATTAGAATGGGAAAGAAAATGAAAGGGCTAAGATTACACTTTGATCTCCAAGTCAAACGTTGTTCTAACAAGGAAAAAGACACATACATACAGCTTTGTTCAAACGATACATTAATTGTTGTTAACCCCATTCTTCAATCTACTGGAACTTCAACTTCCATTCTTAAACCAGAGTTGCCAAGAATCTGCAAGAATTATCAAAAATGTATGAACAGGAGGTTGGAATCCATAATAATAAACTTGTATAGTCTTTCTTGCACTCACGACAGTGACATATCCAATGAAGTCGCTTAAATGGACCTGAATAACTAGCAATCAAAGAGTTGCTTAGGCAATAATATTAGCAATCATAACCGGGTTTTGTTACCAAGCAAACATTTCAGAAAGTGAAATGGCTTATGAGTACTCTTCACCTGAATAAAGCTCTAACCACTTGTTAAAAACAGAAGCCTCAAAGTCATTGATTGGTTTAACTCAGTAGGTAATATGGAGCAGTCATATCCACGTTGTATCACATTTAAGCAAACGTTTCAGGAAGTTGGTTTGTGAGCACTCTTCACTTGAATAATTTCTAACCACTTGTTGGACAAAAGCTTTAAGCTTTTTCATTGCATTCCCCAAAATGGATCTCAGAAAACTACCTAACACGTAGTACTCCATGTCCTGAAATCCACCAGGCATGGTAATTCAGCCTCTTGTGATCATTCAAGCTACTGCCAAACCTATGGTTACCAATAAAAGCATGTCATAGGTCATAACCCATTTCTACTAAAATGATATTAGCGGCGATGATCGTCAAAGATTACTGCAAAGGAACTATTAGCAGTCTAGCATGGACCATAATACAAATAATTAACTCGGAATCTTTTGTGTATTAAAAATCCATGGGTGTTTGAGAAAACTGAGCTCGTAAATGGTTTTAGTATTGCTAATGTAAGAGGAGAAGGTAACAAATTCACATCCTGCCGAGCGGTAAGGCTAGAGCTATGACATCTGCTAAAAGCACCATCTAACAGGCAATTTAGAAAAAGGTTTAGCTTTCCTTTTTGGCAACTGCTGATTGTATGGCACATATTTGCCTTCTTTGTACAGGTTCAAGTTCAACTGCCAAAGGCAGTAAAACAGAGAAGAAAAAAATAAAAAATAAAACTGTGAAAGCATTGAGTTCCCATGCACGTAATGGTTACATAAACTCGCTACCAGAAATTACAATGAAGAAACGTTATCAGAATCACATGATATATAAAGGTCACATACAACTTCTTCGGACAAGCTCCAACCTTGGTTAAATGAAGAAGGTTCCATGTAACAAGAAACTAACACCTAGAAATCCATTATTTCACAATACATAAAAAGAACCAGAACTCCCAAAAGAAAACAAAGATGGTATACTAGGTATCAAACCAAAATCCTTCTGTATAGACTACCATGCACCAACAAAGATGCCTCACTGTTTCACCAATAAGAACTGCTAATATCATAAAAGAGCAAAAAATTGTCACATTATTCTAGCTAAATTTGACTGTTTTGAATATAAAATACCAAAAAATGCTTAAGAAAAGTGTCTCTTAGTCTTATAAGGCGCATAGAGGTCAAAACAAGATATTAGTTTTAGAGCTGCAGTGAAGCAGCATTTTAGTCCACTTCACACTTGCTAAAACCCTTTTCAAATCAAAATCATGAAAGCTTTCTGAAATTTTAATGGCGAAGAACAGAAAGTATATCATAGTAAATAGTATACACTGTATGGATTGAGTATAACAAAGATCTTTTAACATAAAATAGTTCAAAAATCACAACAAAGTGATGCAGGAGCAATCAAGTTCAAGCAAAACTGTGTAACAAATGAAAATAATTCTGGCAGCATTTATCGAACATTCATCGAGGCATGCATTCATATTACCCTCATCTCGTAATGTCAGAAAACTAAAAAAGCATTCTTTTCTATTTTAGCCATTTGATGCTCTAAAAGTTGTTTTAGTTTAGGTCATTCTCATCCTTTTGATAATTATGCTAAACTTAAGTCAAATAGTTATAACAGATGTTGAAACCTAGTATACCTTTTCATAATATGTCTATACAGATTGTTAAGAGGAGACTTTGATACTTAAACCCCTGAATCTCTAATTTTGGTCCAGTCTCTCTCTCTCTCTCTCTCTCTCTCAAATGCAGAAAGACACTCATACCAACACCCACACACCCATAGAAAAGCATTTTCCATTTCTTAACATTCAATATCTTTCCAATTCTTATTTCTGCAGAGGTACTCTCAGAGGTTACAAAACATAGTTGGCCATATAATATGGAAAAGCATATCCGCCACTATCTGCAAAAGTAAACTAAATAATAGGGATAGTCTTACCAACCACGAGCTCCAGCATAGTGATTTAAGGAATACATTCAAAAGGTGCAGTCGTGTCCTTTTGCTATTCTTATCTTATTATTACAATATATGTGAAACAGAACTTCAAGCAATTACAAGTCAGGCACCAAGCATTAATTGAACTGAACATAACTATATAGAAGACAAAATTAAACAGTGATCATTACTCTTCGTTAAATAATTCAGTCCAAACGTTTCCACAGCACCGCATGACAATTAAAAGTTTTGGGCTTTTTAGAGTAAGTGCCTCATTTAACATGCTATGTGTATCACCAGTGCCCTAAAGAACTCCGAAAACTACACAACGCATAAAGGTTTTCGAAAAGCTATTTGAAGATGCTTTGAGCATCCGTTTAGTACGGATGTTAATCCAACATCTACATCATGTTGATACAAATAACAAAATCTTTTGAGGACATCATTGTAGCAAACTATAAAAGGAGGTTTGTAATTGAGAAGGACAACTTTCAATAAGTACCACGAGTCATAGAAACTACCATCAAGAAGGATGTTTACCTGATAATTTCTGAAACAATTCTACTTCATCACAGGATGAGTTCTACTTCATTGAAGGACCAGGTTTTCTTTCTTTTCCCTCTTTTTTTTTTATGCCTCTGGTCGCTTCCTTTTCTCTGTGTTCTTGTCCTACATTTTTTCCCTACTATGTGCTCTTCCTAGGACAGTTTTATTCCTTTTATACATAATAGTTTTGAAACATTCACCATCCATGCACAGACATCAAGGATGTTTTTTGGTCATACCTACCAAAATTGTACTTGATTTTTCAATTCGACATGCCAAAAGAGGCGTCTGCCACAACACTACCAGGCCAATGGCAGGAAGTTAAAAAGGTCAAAGGTCTATGAGCGTTGAATGCCAATTAATATTCTAAATAACCATTATAAAGGAGATTAACCATTCATCAAATTTATGTACCATAAATCTCATATCCTACTTCAAGAAGGGAAGCAACCTTGAAGCCCTTCCAATTTGTCTTCCATCAATAACTACCATGACATCACCAAATTCACCAAAATAGGTCTAAGTCACATCATATTGCAAAAATTTTCTTGGATTTAATCTATTGGAATAATATTTCAATTTTGGTAGAAACAACTGGTGAAAAATCACTCTTGTAAAAACAATAAAAGATAAACCATGCACAGACATAGTACTTATTGCAAAAGGATGTGACGTGCATGTACACCTCAATATGAACCTTTTCTTAGAAGGGTATAATATAACTTAAAAATGAAAATGTATGTGTGTGTGTGAGAGAGAAAATTTGAATTTACATGTTGAGCACAAGTTTTTTCATTTAAAGTAAACAAAATTTGACAGTAATATATGGCTGCCAGAGCAGACAGTGAATAATTACCTTCATAAAATCAGATTGTACCAGAAAAGAATCCTTATTGTAGCCTGCTTCTTCTAGAACTCGGGTGAGAACTTGCTGCAAGAACCAAATTGCAGATAAAAAATGAATTATAACACCAGGCCTCATTTTGTTGTTCAAATGATTTATTAGTGTTTTCCAAGTTTTAGCCTCAGTGCAAGAGGGGAAAAAGATAAATTGCGAGGAAACAATTCCATTTTGAGGCAGTGACAAACCAACCTCTCTTTGCTGTTCTGATATAAATTGTCCAGTTAAGTCTCGCAAAATGTCCAACATATCATGGAATGCGACCTTGCCATTTCCATCAGTATCATAAACCTTAAAAATGACTGGGAAACAGAAAGTATATGTAAATCAATTGGGAAAAAGGAAAACTGAAACCAAAAAGCTAAAATTTTCAGACTAATTCAGAAAGGTACAAAAAGAAAGACTATTTACATTCCACTTTCTGCTGCAAGCTTGCACGGGAACTGAATGCTGACAAGAAGGCAACAAACTCCTTAAAGTTCAAACCCTCCAACATCCTTAATAGTCTCTGTATTAGCAAACAAATATCAAAAACATAATCAAGCATGAGCAACCATCTTCTTCTTTCAACTGCAGCTAATACCCATAAATACACCCAAAAAAATTAAAATTAAATATCACAATGCTTCTATCTTCCCATAAAGAAAATTTTAGATAACCAGCTATTTCTGCACATAAATTGCGAGTCTGAGATTGAATAAAACCATGTTCAATTGGACGGAACCTATAGCAAATGCTTATATGTTAGGCCTGAAAAAGTATTTATCAGCAAAAAAGAACTAATTTCAAATGGCTGTATTTTTTGAACTAAGTTTGCACGACAGAAAGAAAGGCAGAAATTTCACCTTATGCCACCAACATGGTTCTAAACATAGTAGAACAAGGTTCTCTCATGTAACCAAACAGAAACTTCTTTTTCCAATTTCATGAGATTTTATTTGAGAAATGCAATCATCCGAACAAGTTTAAACCTTTTCCATAATTTTTCCCAACCATGTGCATAATCCCGTAGGCATCACAGTCAGAAAATATCTTTACATAAATCATACACAAGGTTACCTCAGTCTAAGAATAACTAGATCAAGTTGTCTCAGTCCAACAACTTTACCCATGAAGCAATGTAGCACACACATGTGATGACTAGGCAGTTCAATGTACATAAATGTAATGTTGGATTGGATTCCCACTTATTACTGTATAAGATTGAATACATGCGACGGAAACATAACCATTTTTTCGCTAACTAATATTGAAACATATTCAACCTGGGAAAGAGGATTAACGGCAAATTCGGGCACAGACAAGAATTCATCAGACGAGATGAATCCGATCCCATTTCGATCGAGCTGGCAGAATCTCTGGTAAAGTGCAACTATCTCCTGCTGCGAAACTGCCACCAAATTAAAAAAAAAAAAAAATCGAGGATGAGTATACAAAAATAAGCCAACTAAAACCCAACAAATGGCCTCAAATGCAGACACCCCAGAAAAGAAAAAAGGCCTCAATTTTGAGGGATTTGTCTAACATAAACAACCAATTTTGCAGACCATCCAGATAATTAAAACAGAACAAAAAAAACTGGCAATGGAGAAGCAGAATGATATGTAGGTACAGGTATGATTGCAGTGCTGTTGGACTTCTTCAATGTCGTACTGGGTCAGCATAGAAGAGGAATTTCCCATGGATTTTATCTTCTTCGGAGGAGAGAAGATCTCAAATCCTAGCTACTAGGAGAAGCAATTGAATATGAATTCAAGAAGGTGAAAAATGTGTTAGATTAGATGGGCTGCTGGGCACTTAAATTTCTGGTCGAGTGGTTGGGTGGTAGATGGAATCTGGAAAGGAGGACCACGAGGGAAATGCAATAAAACCGTGAAAACGTCTCTAATATTGTGCAAAATAACTTTTTTCATCTATCACTTTTAAAATATAATTTTATCACTTTTAAAATATAATTTTAAAATATAATTTTACGTTCTTCGTAAATTTAGATTGATCAAATTTTGTACATTTTTAGGTTCTGACTAGTTTTTTTTGTCGAAATTCACTATATGCCTTGCACTTGATCATTTTTTTAGACCAAAATTGTTAAATCAAATTTTACACAATTCGATTTATAATCCCTCATTTTTTATAAAATAAATTTTTTATCCCTTATACTTCACAAAATAAATTTTTTTGTCTCTCATATTTCACAAAATGAATTTTTTCATCTTTCATGTATTTACAAAATAAATTTTCATTCCTCATTGATCTGTGTATGAATAATTTTTGTTTAAACTCATGTATATATCTATTTGATTTTATCTGAACAATATGAATAGCATGTGTATAACTACAACTAACCTATTTGAACAAAATTAAATAGTAATATATTATATGTTATTCATACATGAAATTAAATAGATATATACATGAATTTAAAAAAATTGTTAATTTTTCACTCATGTTCATTTCCTTTTACTCAAAAATTGAAAACAAATAAGAGATTTAATCCTAAACATTGCCGAATGTTTATATCAAATTAAATTTAGACAAAAAATAAACAAAAGAAATGTATGACAAGAAGATGTAAATAATTGGTACTTTTAAATTTTAATACAATCACAAGGCAAAAGTAACAAGTATAAATTTTAGATTTAAATTGTAATTTGTTAGCATGACTATAGAATTCGAATTAGAACTCATTAATTAGATGACCTTATTATACAATTCAATAAATGAATTATTATCAAAAGAGAAAAGGTCACAAGTATTGAACAAGTTCAGGTGGTGAAATCAAATGGATATATACATGAATTTAAAACAAAATTGTTAATTTTAAACTCATGTATACATCTATTGAATAGGATGTGTGCAATTATAATTAATCTGTTTAGGTAAAATCAAATGAAAATATATTACATACTATTCGTATTATTCAGGTGAAATCAAATAGATATATACGTAGGTTAAAAAAAAATCTATTCATACACATTGTCAATGAGAGATGAAAAAAATTCATTTTGTGAAATGTGAGCGGCGAAAAAATTCATTTTGTGAAATGTGATGGATTATGGATCTGATTATGTAAAATTTGATTTGATAATTTTGTCTCTAAAAAATAATCATATGCAACGCACGTGGTGGATTCTGACAAAAAACTAGTTGAAAATCTAGGAAGAGGTTAAATTTAATCAATGTGAGTTTGTAAGAGACGTAAAATTACACTTTTAAAAGTAAGGAACAAAAAGAGTTATTTTGCAAAATGTGAGGGACGTTTTGAACGATTTTTCCTAAATAATAATTACAAGATCGTTAATAACGCTCGAGTTTTTCCATTTTTAATTCATTGCTATTTACATTTTTGTTTTATCCAACATGGGAATAGATCCAGTCGTATGTAATTTAATTTGGGACAAAGCTTCAAAATTAACGTGGAACAAGATTATGCTAACAATTATATGACTTTTACCTAAGACATTTCATTCTTGATCATCTTTGATAGCATTAGCAAATCGGTCATGAGATTGTTAACCAAGAGGGAAAAAAAAGAAGTTAAAGATATGCTAGTGAAAGAAGAATCGAGTTATTATATGCTTCATTTATTTATAGTTAAATATCTTGTGAATTCAAATTATAGATATCAATGACAGAATTATCAATGGAATTGGAAAGAGTATAAATTATACCCTTTCTTCGCCAAATCAAATATTTATATGTACTAAAGTGTTGTGTTCTTAGTAAAATTGAAAAATGCTCTATGAACTAAAAATTGAGGATGAACATGTAAATTTAGCTCACCTATTTTATGTCGATTAGTTCCAAAGATTTATTGGCAAAACAAGAAAAAAAAAAAAAGCTTTAAACATGTTCTTGTAAATAAACAAACAAAATTAATGCATGGACAAAAACAGGTTAAGTTCGGTACTCGCTTGCTAAATCAAATGCTCTTTTGTTGCTCGTTACTCTTGTACCAGCCACTCACTAATATATGGGGTACTTAAAAATAAAAAAAAAAAAAAACTAATCGACACAAAATATTGCAGATCAGACAGGCTGGTCAACGACTTGGGGCCCAAACATTAATTTGTTAGGCTCTGTTAGGATGAGCTGGGCTTCTTTACTTAATCATACGGGCTTCTCGAGGGATTTACTAGCCCACAAAAGTGTAACCGAAACTGACGACGTGTAACGTCAATTCGTCAGATTTCGAGAAGAACTTTTTTTTTTCTTTTTATTTTTTTTTTTGGGAGAAACCATTTGAAGCTTGCACACTTCACACACACACACACACACTGAGACACAGTCCCTCTTCACTCTTCCAATTTTCTCAAATTCAGAGGAAATCAAGGCCCGTTTCACTTGAATTCCTCTGCAGCAAGATGTCCCAGCAGCCATCCCAGACCAAGAGCCCAGCAGATGAAAATCACTCGGTTAGTTTTTCCTTTTTCGTTTTTTTTTTTTTCCTGTTTGCTTCAGAATTTGCAATTTTGTCAATTTAAGAAGTGATTATTTTTTGAGCCTCCTGAAAATGAGTTGAATTTGCTTGTTACTTTATGTGCATGTGGGTTTTTGCTGGTTCTTTGCTCAGTATGGTATTTTTCTTGTTAATTTCAGTTTCTTGCATTGAACTGTTTCTGTATATTGTAAATTGACCCCTTTTGCTACATGAAAAATTTAGGAACCCCGAATGGTGAATTGAGATTATTGTTTGCTAAAATTTGACTCTCTGAAATTACTAAATTACCAGGTGTAGTCGCCAAATTAATTGGTGATGGCTTCTGGACACTTGATCGAGTAGTAGAGGGATTTTGTACGAGAAATTTCTTTGTATATATAAAAACATGTTTATCTATTAGGGCATTGCTGGAATTTACTGATGTTTTAACTTTGTGAACTAGGATCCATAAATTTACTGGTCTTTTTGCACTTTTGCTAATTGATTCACGGTCTAAATTGATTTACATTTACCTTTTTCTTTATTACGTTGGAATTCACTGTTGTAATGGATTTGCTTTTGGATAATTGTTTGTTTGTTTAATGCAGGAGATGTACATTCGAGTTAAGCGCAGCAAGACCACTTACTTCTTGCAATGCCTTCCCAGTGAAAAAGTTTTACAGATCAAAGAGAAGTTGCAGATCCTAATTGATCAACCAGTTAATGACCAGCGATTGATTCTGTTGCCAAATAAAGAAGTACTTGATGATTCAAAGTCATTAGCTGATCAGAAGGTACTACCTAAATCTTCACAAATTGATAAGACAAATGTTGCATGCATCAATTGTTGTTAGAGTGCACATGGTGTCCATTACTTGGGTTTATCATGTGCCATTGTTTGTTATCTACCACTCATTAATTTCTTCCTATATATTTGCCTATTGCGTTCACTGATGTGTATTAAATCTGTTTAATTGAATATCAGGTTGAAAATGATGCAGTTGTGGCACTAACCTTGAGAAAAGGTTCTTTTCTTCCTTTTCCTTTCCTTTTAGTGTCAAATTTGTTTACTGAACATACTGTTTGTTACTTGGGGTTTCTGGTGTTATTAGTCCGGTTGTCTGTGGTTATATTGAACCAACCCTTAGTATGAACCATTTAGATAACATCAGGTTGTAAGAATGCACAATTAGATATATAATGGCAAAGAAACCAAGAGGCTAGGGGCATTTAAGTGATTGATGGAATAGAAGTTGTGTGACAAATTGCAGCACAAGTAGAGGTCATTGGTTTAGTTAATCGGAGAAGTTATTGTATTCTGGTTGTCTGATTTAGCCTTCTTATCACTGTGGGAGATGACTGGGGAACTTTGGTTTTTACAGCTTTTAGCTTTGTTAGGATGACATACATTTTCTGTCTTGTGCATATCCCTTGTAGGAACTTCTGCAAAGAACTTTCTGTTTGCCGACTGAAAATTACAAATTTTCTAGTATGATGATAATAAAGAGTGATCTCACCCAGTGAATAACCTGGAAAAGAAATCCTTACTGAAATCTGTTAATTTGTTAATCAGTTTCTGTCTTTTGTAGTGTTGAGAACATAGATATTTAGATTAGTTATGTTTGACTTCCTTTTGAGGTTTAGGAATAATGTTCTTTTTTCTAGTCAATTTGGAACTAGAAAGGCAGTTTCACATTATATACTTATCCTTCATCTTCAATATGACATCCCTGCTATATGACACATATGGCCTTATTTTTTGAGTTTCTGTTGCATACAAGTTTGTCAACTTTGGAAGCTGCATCTTTGTTAGCCTCATGAGGGCACTGTGGAATAGAAAAAAAGGAAGCTTTCGAGTATCTGGAGTTTCGATTAGATGGATTGAACTACAGTTGCTTTATTAGCTTATGTTGTGGTGCGGGGAAGAGATTTAGGAAAATACACGACCAAGGTGGTTGTGAACCTGTCATATTTCTTAAAAGCATACCTCTGCTTACCTTTTGCACAGTCATACCCTCTTGCTGCTCTTTATGCCATTCTTCTTGCATACAGAAAAAGAAAATGTTATGTACTTCAACCCTGAGGGAGTTTCGCTATAGGTATTTGGTAACTCGAATCTCTTTTATCTGTTCTTTGTACATCATACTTTTGCTGCCTTCCACCCCAAGCAACCAAGATTGAGTTGATCCCTCTTCCATTTTGAGGCAGTAGTAAACTGGTAGACTGGCGTATGCAATGTTTCCACTGCTATTGCTGTCATGCATAATCATCCTTTGATGCTTACCTTTGGACAAAATTAGAACTGGTAACTTCTTGTCAAATCTTTGTTCATAAGTAGTAGTAGGATCAGCACAAAGCAACAGTTGTCCCAAACGGATTCAAGCTTCATTGATGGATATTAGTTGGTTATGGAGCTTGACAGACAGATGATTTTTTGTTTTTTTTTTTTTTCGGGAGATGGTTACATATGGTTGGTAGCATGATCTTTCAATGATTTAAAGTTGAAGTGAAGTGTGTGGCTGGATGTGTTGTGCCACAGTTTGGACTCTGCTCGATGGAAGGAGAAGATTCAGATGGGGAGAGACCTACGCTCTTTGATTTCATGATTTTTTTCTTTGTTTCACATACTTCATAGTATACAAGGTTGGCATGTATTGATTGGTAATAAGCACTTCTAGAATTTGGTTGAGCGGATGACTTTCCAATCCCAATATGATTTGTTTCTATGATGATGTGGTGACAGGTTAGAGAGGTCCTTGTGATCACTAAAACATTAAGGGATTTTCCTATCTGTCAAAAGTAGTGATGGGGTTTGTGAAATATCTTTCCTGATGTCATGATTTCTTGGAACTTTAAAATCTGCTCAGCCAGAGCTGTTTACCATATTATGATGACTGCAAGAGTCCTTGTAGTACAAAAATCACCATCTCATAATTGAATCAAGAGCATGTCAGTGAGGATTCTAGAGTATTAAATGAACGAAAGCAGCCAGTTTAGATGAAATTGAAGCTGTCCTCATTCTTGGGTCAGTTTTCATGTGCTCTAATTAGTTTTCTGCCCAGGATAGTACTTTTGACCTAGTAATCTTCTATTTCAAGTATTCTTTCTTGCTTGCTTCTTTGATGTATACCTTTCAGTTAAGTGCTTGCTTACACCTTCTCTTGCTGTCAGATGACAATGAATTTGAGGATGTGAATATCGCGAGGCCTACTGATTACTACCGTGATGGTGATGGTGGCTCAAATTGGTGAGAAGAACCGTGTTTGGAGCTGCTGAAAGCCTGAAACTTTACACTCATATTCACTGCTAATTAACCTGTTGTTGCTGTTTGGACTGCTTTTACAGCACTAGGAGTTGCTTTATTAATGATCTTACGTTGAGGATTTCAAGCATGCAATGTTTAGACTCCTTTCTCTTTAGCTGTTTTGGATGAAATTTTAAGAGTTGCTCTGGTGTTGGCGGGGCAGAGGGCCTATTTTACTTCGATTATTACTCGAGATGTTCTGGAACTTGACAGTCATAATTTCGAAATTTATGAAAAAGGAGAAAATGAAATTGTTGGCAATAGCATAATCAAGCTCCGCATAGGAATATTTTCTTCGCTTACCAATGCCTCTCCATTAATCTTCAACAAAATCTTAGGAATTAGAAATTCTGGGCATCGCTTCTTAAATCTCGCTTATTTCTTATTCAAAAATTAAAAAAAAAAACCTACTATCAGTTTTACCATTGTTCTTCCATGATGCCATTAGGATCACCATCTCAACATGTACCTTTACATTTTTAAGGCAAATTTGCGGAAAGAGATTATCACGTAAGCTTGAGTTTCTAATGATGATGGTCAAACTGTGATGACCTTTCTATCTTTCAAATAGGCATATATCTGGAGGGCAACTCTCCATGTACAGCTTTTCAACCAGTTTTCATTATACAAGAAATGGATTTTTAAACAACAAAATGTAATCTAGTTGGTAAGACGTTTCAACTGTAACTGATAAAACACTTCAATTATAACTTATAGATCGCGGGTTTTTGAGTCATCAAGAAATGGATTGTTAGATAACGAAATGTGACCTGAGTCATCAAGAAATGGATTGTTAGATAACGAAATGTAACCTAGTTGATAAGACGTTTCAATTGTAACTCATAGATCGCGGGTTTTTGAGTCATCGGACAATAAATGGGGAATCATCGTTGATTCTCTAAATAAAAAAAATAAAATAAAAAAAGAAATGGATTTTCAGCATCAGCCCTTGTACCTTATACATTTTTGGTAGCATTGATTTTGACCACTTGGTGCTAAATATTATCCCATTAATACAGTCTTTTAATGCCACATTTTGATGAAGTACACCTTTTAGCTTTATATTGTGATTCAAATGTGGCGTAGATCTTCCAAGTGGTTCCATGAAATTGAAAGAAAAGATCATTAATGGCATTTCTCCCAATTCATTGACAGATTTTGAAGGCAAATTTGCGGAAAGCCCTTGCCTTTTTACAAAAAAAAAAAGAAAAAGAGACACAGGCCAACTAGTTGATGTCAGAACAAGTTAAGATAAAGCTTAAAAAACGTAGTGCAAATGCTCAACTGCCTTGAAAGTCCTTCAACTTTCTCAAAATATTTTTGTTTAGCACTTAAAATATCCAAATATGCTATTTATCCTACAAGTTTTGTCAGGGTAAAATTCATACCCAAGTTTTAATCCAATTTTTCTATCTTATTTCACAATAATTTGAAGAACCTTTCCAAGTGTGTCACCTAAGCTAAGAGAGGATGAACTGGATGTATTAGTTTAGACCAGCTATTCGCTTGCTAGATGTTGGGATATATGATACTAAATGAAACAATCGACTTTTACAACAAGCAATAAAAATGAATTTGCAACATGAAAATTGAAAACCATACTTTTGTTTGATCTACATTTTATGTTGTTAATTATCATTTTACTGGCACAATAGATTTACTGAAGTGTTTTGTTTTTTACTTTTCAATGTAGTTTCTGTGTTCTATGTTTTACAAATGGTATTGCAGAATTTCATGCTTTTCTGAATGTCACTGGACGAATAATAAGCCTAGTCAATTTTCCCCAGTCGGACGTCCTTTCTGGTGGATAAAAATTTGGGCAAAATATACTTTACCCCTAGTAGTATAGCTATTTTCACATAACCTCTATATAGTTATATAAAACCCCCTCATAATTTGAATTAAAGTGTCAAAGTGACGGAAATGATCATTCATAATGAAACATATGAAAATATCAAAATTACCCTTGTTTAAAAACTAAAATGGTTGAAGTTATCAAAATATATAAATATAATATTTATGACACTCTAACCCCGTATATATGGTTTTATGTTTTACTATATAATCCCCCTTTATGATTTAGTGCTTCATCATATAACTCCCTTATGATTTTCAAAATATATGCATAACACCCCTGTAGTTAATAAATAATTTTTAACTTCATATACTGGTATTTTTGACATTTTAGTTAACTCCGCTTATGAATTGCAAATTATGTCACTTTGATACTTTAATCTAAACCATGAGGGGCTTATGTCTAGCTTTTCAAATCATAGGGAAGTTTTTGTTAAAAAAAGCACTAAATCACGAGGGGATAAAGTGTAATTTGCCCTAAAAATTTTCAAGGATCTAATGAACTCTATTCTTCAGTATCCAATCCTTCGTCGAAAAATATTCTTATTTTCACATATTGTGGGATATCATATGACTACTCTACTACTGTATAATTTGCATTAAAGCTTGTCTCTGAAAGCAAAATACGAAGCTAATTTTACGTAAAACAAATATTTATCAAATGTTGACTAATTAATTAGCAGGAAGAAAGTTTTATTAAGATTGTCGCCCGAAAAGCAAAATACTAAATAGTCTCTTTATTTTCTACTTCTTAGGAGACTATTCTTTGGAATTTTGGATACAGGCTCGTCAATCCTCCTCTAATTGAAGTTACACACGTTTGTACTGCGTGCAATAGCTGTTGGATCAGTTCTTGATGCAGCCTATCTGTGCTTTCGCTGCCCGATGAATAAGATGGAATTTGTTAGTTGTGAGTAATGTTGGACAAATATGGGACTAGAAATTTGTTAAGACACTTATATATATTAACATATCCAAGTAGTTAGGGAGACAAAGGTGGAGATAAATGTTGCATTGCCCGAAGTTGAATTGGCGCTCTGGTGAAGTAAACAGCCATAGTTGCAGAAGAATGATCCATTTGGAGATGGCCCTTGTGGATGACATTTACGTTTGTAACAATTATCAATACAAACATCAACGTTGTTTTGATCCGAACAATCTACTAGGCACTTTGCAAAGCAATGATCATGCCGAACAATTGGATCGTCAGGCCAAGAGAAAGAATCATCACAAAATACCAGGTCTGTCATAGCTGTTAGTAGTACTAATGCTAGCCATGCAGTCCTCATTTTTTAGGTATTTCCTGTGTATTTGATTACCTTAACCTATTGCTAAAGTTAAGAGAAGTGTTCATAGGTCTTGTTCCTTGGATCAAGCATGGATTCATTTTTGTCGTCTAAACTTAGCTAATCCTTTGTTGGTTATACATAACTACCATACTTGGGAGTGAAAACACAGTTTTTCGATGACTATATTATGGTTTTCAACTTTTCTATATTCCACCGTATTCATGCAAGATACACATCTCCGAAATTAATGCAACTTTTATCAGTTCTCAACTGTCATCAAAAGATCACGATTCCTTTCGAAAAGGGTTGAAAAATAATTTTGCGGGTTGATTTAGTCCTATATTTCAAATTAATTAACTTTTTTTGAGCAAGTAGGGATTATTTTTCTTTGGGGGGTCAGTAGCCAGGGAGTTAAACTCCTATCCGATAGATCAGGGTCCAAAATCTTGGACGGCAGGTTTGGATAGGGAGGAAGTACGAGAGTGGGGGACAAAAGAGGTGGTTGTCACTCCTAAATTTTCATTCATCATATGATTCGCAATTCAGGGGGTGCTTTCCAGAGTGATTTTAGCAAAATTTAACTCTTCTTGGAGAGTAATTTGTAGTTTAGTTTAGCAAAACAAAAGTCTAGGTAATTTTCATTTTTTCAAAAACATGGTAATCTACATGCACACACTCCTAAATTTTTGTCACAATACAAGCAGCTTTGAAGTATCACATGTCACTTGTTGCAGTTTTACCAAGAATATTTGGTGCTTGAATGAGGAGTAAGGTAAATTAAGCATTAGTACTAAAATAAGGGAAATTTTCACTTCACACCCTCCATATTTCCATTTGATTTTTTAGTTTTGTCATTTTCTTTTAGACACTTTACACCCTCAACTCATCAAAATGGCCAAAAAAACTCTGACTACTAAAATTATGAACAAAAATATACGACCACACACTTATAATTATAGATACACATACTAGTGTAGTTTTAGAAATAGTGTGCGAGATTATGTTAATTTAGGCTATCTGGACTACTTTAGAATGTGCTTGACTAAAACCAAAAAAAAAAAAGATAAAAGACAGCTTTAGGATATAATGTGAAATTGGTCACAGAAGTAGACCCCTCTCATCTTCATTTGCTCATTTACCGGTCCATCTACAAATCCATCCATTAGGAGGATAACTCAATGTGAGGGCTTGATAAATAGCAAGAGTTGGTATCATTATCAATATTTGCTTTTTAGTTGATTTGATAAATGAGTCCTCTAGTTCCCTGTCATATATATATAGTAAATGGGAGGGTTTGAATCTGAAATCTCTCACTTACATTCCCTCCTCCGAATCATCTAATCCGTCCTTCCACCAATCTCTAATTGTTAATGCTTTTTCTCTTCAATCCTTCAAGAGCGCTCATATTATTCAAGATTGTCCAAAAAAAAAAAAAAAAAGAAAGAGAGAAGAAGAAGAAATATGTTGTATTCAGCAATTGAAATCTTGGTCAATGCCATTATAAATGGATTTTGCTGAAAAAAAATTTCTAAGGCATTTATGTAACTACCTCGTAATTACCAATATGTACCCCTTTTCCTTCAAGGAGGCTTTATATTAACCAAATAATTGAAGGAAAATAATCTTTTTTTTTGTGGTTTAAACATTTTCCTTTAAATAGTTTCAACATGATCCATCAAATAATTTCTCTGTTATAAATGAAGTCTTACAATTGGTTGCAAATTAATGCGTACTACTTTAGGTTGAAACCAACTGCATGCAAATCACTTTCTATTTTGTGATAACAAGTAACAACTTCAATTCCAGTCTAATACAAGCGGTGGTTGGTGATGTACTAAAATCTGGTCTAAACAATAAGTAGTCCATTTTGTGTTGCATCGATTAGCAGTAAATAAAACGATTGTTGGGCCAGGCAAAAAAAAAAAAAAATTCTGAAATTTAACAGGCTCGCTCACGTACATCAATTAAGTGACCTTTGCATTAAGTGGATTTTAATCAAAATAAAGAGACTTTTGCATCCAGAAAAATATAGCCTATCGATCGTTATTTTTATGCTTTCTTAATTAAAGCCACTTTAGAAGTAACTCTTGGGAAAACAGTTGATATCAGTACAAATAA